ACGAAAGGCATATTAAGTATTTATGGACACATGCAAATTCCAGTCACAGTGATCTCTTTGAAAAAACAAATTGCTTTGGGGAACAGGATATCATATTCTGATGGAAAAAAGGCAGTTAAAGATAGAAAGTAATGAAGGCATGTGGTGGTGTACATTTAGAAATGTAAATTCCATAATGGTGTGAATAATAAATAGATATACTCACACACATTCTACAGAAAGTTGTTTAAAAATTGTGTAGTGGCATTAAAACACTCCTTCCAGCATCAATACAACTGATTACCATCCAGTCTTTTATGCCTTGAATCAATACTTCCACACTGAAATAACCAATGAGCAGAAGCATCTGCAGCATTTCTGAACAGGGATTAGAACCAATACATGAATCTTGCTTTCAAAAGCTTGTTTGCCTACTCTCCCTTCAAATCCTTCTGAGTCTCAGTTCCACATTGATAAATAACACTTCTCAGCTGAGCTCTTGTAAATGGGATGCACCCTGTGTTTCTGTCAGCTCTTGCATCTGTTGGCCAGTATGTGATGTGTGGAAAGGTCAGTCTGGTGTCTCAACCTGTCAAAGCAGTGAAAAAACACCTACCAAGATGTTTCTGTACATGTCAAAGATGTGAGTTGCAATAAGTAAGAGGCACAAGACAGACAAGAATTAAAATGATTTAACTGTAAAAAGGAGGAAAGATAATAAAACATAGTCAGTGGTAAAAAGGTATACAGGTGGCAATAAAATGAATACTTACCTGGACCCCTGGCAAATGCTACAAACTACTTGCCTGTCTAAACCAAGCAGCAACCTCTGAGGCTAAGAAATGAAAGCCAATGAGAAAGTGTTAAAACATGCAGTTCCTCAAATGGTCAAGTGAGTCAATCATCATAGACTCCCATGTTAAAATGCCCAACTTGACTGCAGAAATAAATAAAAAAAACAGTTTTGGTTACTATAACTAATTTCCCCTTCCATGACAACTGCACAGGGGTTTAAATTATATTGAGACAGGCAGAATGGTCCTGCCACAGGTGGCTAGCAGCTAGCTGTCTAACAAGCTTGACTCATGCCCCACCTCCTTGCCCATTTTTGGATTAGA